TCGAAGAAGATCGAGGGAGCTGCAGGAGCAAGTGAAGAGAGAGGCTCAGAGAAGGAAGACAGCTGACAGGTAAGTGCAAATTTTGCTGCTGCAGCCTGGTATGCAGGCTGTAGATGGGAGAGGGGAGGAGAGAGCGAGCCCAGGGCTGGAGCAGGAGTCAGCAAGGGTACTCGTATCATTGGTGTCAGTGGAAGGGATAGTGCCCCATCATTTGTGTCACTAATACCAACGATGGGGCACTATTCCTCCCCCCACTGACACCAACGATGGGGTACTATTCCTCCCCCCACTGACACCAACGATGGGGGCCTATTCCTCCCCCCCACTGACGCCAACGATGGGGCACTATTGTCCCCCCCCCACTGACACCAAGAATGCGGCACTATTCCTCCCCCCACCGACTGCAACGATGGGACACTAATTTCCCCCCCCCCCCACTGACACCAATGATGGGTTACTATTCCCCCCCCCTGACCCCAATGATGGGGCACTATTCCCCCCTCCACCAACTGACATCAATGATGGGGCACTATTCCTCCACTGACAGCAATGATGGGGCACTATTCCTCCCACTGATACCAATGATGGGGCACTATTCCTCCCACTGACACCAATGATGGGGCACTATTCCTCCCACTGACACCAATGATGGGGCACTATTCCTCCCCACTGACCACCAATGATGGGGGCACTATTCCTCCCACTGACACCAATGATGGGGCACTATTCCTCCCACTGACACCAATGATGGGGCACTATTCCTCCCACTGACACCAATGATGAGGCACTATTACTCTCCCACTGACACCACAATGGGGACACAAGCAATGATGGGGCACTATTCCTCCCACTGATACCAATGATGGGACACTATTCCTCCCACTAATGCCAATGATGGGGCACTATTCCTCCCACTGATACCAAACGATGGGGCACTATTCCTCCCACTGATACCAACGATGAGGCACTATTCCTCCCACTGATACCAACGATGGGACACTATTCCTCCCACTGATACCAACGATGGGACACTATTTATCCCACTGACATCAGTGATGGGGCGCTAGTCCTCCCACTGCAAAATTACAGTTATGAAGTAGCAATGAAAATAATTTTATGGTTGGGGGTCACCACAACATGAGGAACTGTATTAAGGGGTCGCGGCATTAGAAAGGTTGAGAACCACTGCTCTAGATATATCCTCTGCCCTTACATTATCTAATCAAACCAAAATCGGTGTGATCAGTTGCTTTCCCAATTTACAAATGGCGCTGTTTATATCCTGCAAAACTGAAGTGATGAAATGCTCGTAGCTTCCGATTTCTTGAGCTATAGAGATGATTGGCACCATTCTGGTCTCCAATCAGCTCTATAGTCAGCTGGCAGAAACACTGGCTGCATTCTCAGGTTGCCCCGATGGCATGGGACTGCCCCAGAAGGCCGTGGAAGGCAGTGGGGGAGGGAGGCATCGTCTCCTGCTGCTTGTAAAAGCAATCCTGCAGCTAATTAGCCACTAGGATTGCTTTTACATGAAAACTGATTGCCGACAGCAAAAAATGATACCAGGATGATGCCTGCAGCTGTAGGCATCATCCTGGTATACCATTCAAAGTCCAGTGATGTACCAGTACTTCGGTTTACAAACTTAATTCATTCTGCAGGACATTTCGTATAGCGAAAAATTTGTAAACCGAAACACTGTTTCCCATAGGAATGCATTGAAAACCAATTAATCCGTTCCGAAGGTCAGAAAACCAGTAAACGCTACTAAAATACGGCATGAGTTATTTTAATAACTCATGCGGTATTTTAGTAGTGATAACCATGTGTTAATGGTTTAGCTGTCAGCGGGGTTCCCCAATGACAGCTGAATGTAAAAGAACTGCAGGCAATGAAAAAAAAAATTTTAATTGCCGGCAATTCTTTCACACTCAGCTGTCAGGTGCCAGTTTTTAAAATGTAATTACAGTCTTTTTTTTTTTTTCACTATACAGTAGTTCAGTAATTCAGCAGTCACTTTCCCCCTCAAACTAAAAGAAACTTTCTCTCTTTTAGCTGATTTCCCCAAGTTAAAAGAAACAATGTTTCCTTTCAGTTTCTTAAAAGATACAAAGTATCCTTTAGCTCTGGGGAAACTGACAGCTAATGTTGTGAGCTATAGTGAAGAAAAAAAAAAGACGCCGATTGTATTTAAAAATCAGCACTGACATACACTTTGTATTATGAAAAAAAATTTGTAAAAGATTCGTAAACCGAGGCAATATTTTCAATGGATTTTCATTCGTAAACCGAAAATTGCGTTAACAGAGCCATTCATAAACAGAGGTATTACTGTATATGCTATGTTCTTTTTTTTTTTTGTATGCAGCCTGTGGACTCAATGAAAAAAAAGGAAGAAATCTCTGCCAGAAAAAGTGTGTGGTATGCCCCCCATTAGAATATACCACCCTGCATCCACCCACTTCTAATGGTGGGCACACATTAGGTCACACTTTGCCACATGCGCCAGTTTCAAGATTGTACAAATGTCTAAATAGTGGCACGCTTGAATAAAAATTGTCCGTATAAGTGGTACCCCATTTGCAAAAAGGATGACACCAACTCCCAAACTATCTTGCCACTACTCCCCATGTAGTCTCGGCATCTGGAGGGCTCCACGTGACTATCTATTCCCTCGTAAATCTGAAACTTATAAGTATAGCCTGTTGTTCTCTCACAGGTCTATTACATCTTGACCCCAAATCTGGCACGCTTGCTGGGGAGAAACTGTTTGAATGCAAGGCGGCCAGAAAAATTAATGATGGACTCATCAACGCAGATTTTTTGCTGGGGAGTATAGACATCTGCAAATTTTTGGTTAAGGTGATTTGTGAGGGGCTGAATTTTGTGGAGCCGGTCAAATTCAGGGTTACCCTGAGGACGCCAGAGTGTATTGTCATTGAAATGCATAAAACAAATTATACTCTCATATCTATGCCTGGCCATGGCAGCAGAGAACACGGACATATGATGAATAGGGTCTTTTTATAGTAATGCTTTTTATAGTTTTTATATAATTCTTTTTATAGTAATGCCCATGTTGAGGCTTAGGTCCCGAAAAAATTTAAATTCGGAAACCGTAATGAGTTTCCATGCAAATAGTCTGGCAAGGTTTGAATTTGGGTTGGCGGTGATAAATTGTTGTGCATATAAAATGCTTTAATCCACAACCAATGCATACAGATCTTCAGTGAAAAACAGCTCCAAAATATCAAGGGGAGTAGTTAAAATTGCTATTTCCACCTGAATTCCGGGTTGGGCAGTGAATGGGGGAAGTACGGGTGCTGCAGAATTTGTGGGCTGCCAGTCGGGATTTGCAAGCACATCCAGAAGCATACTAGAGGCTCTACGGGCCTGTGTGCGAATTCTTGGTGGTTGCGGGACAATACTTGTGCTCGCCACAGCACCAATTTGTACTGCACTAATGGAACTTGCCATGTCACCAAGTCATACTGCGGTGCTGGTATTATTATTATTATACAGGATTTGCTCAGCGCTTTACAATATAATGGGAGACAATACAGTTCAATACAAGAGGGTTAGGAGGTCTCTGCCCCTTGGAGCTTACAATCTAATAGGTATGTGAAAGACCAGGATGTACTAGGCCACTAGTACTCGCCAGTTCACCAAAAGGTAGCGCGGCACTAGTACTGGCACTCTTCTGCATATGAGAGTCATCAAAATTTACAAGTGCTAACAGAGATCAGGCCTGATTCTGCCAACACTGCAGTTTTGTGTGCAATGTATCAAGTGACAGTGACCTACTGACACTGCACTTGCTGGGGGAGAAGGTAAGCGTAGGTGCTGGCAGGTGTCGGGGCTGATCCCGCTAACGCTGCGTTTTTGGGGATGCTATACTAATGTGAACGCTGGTACAGTGCTGATCTGATCAAAGATATTGATCCGTTCAGACACTATACTAGCAATGGAGGTTTATTGTGTATGAGAGTCTTCCTGGCATTCATGGGGTTAAATGTGATGACTGGTGTACTGACAGGCAATCTGACACTATCTGGGAGGGGCATGAAAAAAATGGAAGCGCGAATCACGTATATATATATGTGATTTTGTGCACCTGTGCCACCCTGTAGCAGTATTTATGCTATAGGACGGTCAAGAAGCGATTACATAAGCGGTTTGTGTTATGGCGCTGCGTCACTTTAACTGAGAATTGCGCAGAAATGCTGCACCCGGGACCCGGTGATTGACACCCGCGGCCACAATCAGTGCCGCGGGCAGGGCGGTCGCCAAAATGTATTATGCATACAGTATCCTGCCTACAGGGGCCACTTTGCTGCAGTAAATTATGTGGGCGGTCCCCTAGTGGTTAACTATTTGCCCTCCTGAGGATTTTTTGCTGACCAGGCCTCTTTTTGACACTTTGCTGCTTTTTTTTGCGGCGGTCATGCAATGCTGCAAAACAAAATTTACGTCCTTTTTTTTCAGCACCTTTTTTTATTTTTCATGCTATCAACAAAAAAAGGTTATATTTTTTACTTTCAGCTATAAAAAATATATAGTAAACTCAAAGTTAGTTATAAATTTAGGCCAAAATGTATTATGCAGTACAGTATATAAAATGAAATTTATGTCACACAAATAGAGCTTTTTTTGCGTGTATTTTTCATTTTCACTTCTTTTTATTTCTGGCGCTATAAACAGAAAAATTTTTGTAGAAAAATTTTTTTGAAAAAAACATTATTTTCTCATGTCGGTCATAAAAAATATCCAAAAAAACAAAAATTTTGTCATAAATTTAGGCCAAAATGTATTGTGCTACATGTTTTTGGTTAAAAAAAATCCAGTAAGTGTATATTTATTGCTTTGTGTGAAAGTTATAGCGTCAGGGGTCCTCAAACTTTTTAAACAGGGGGCCATTTCACTGTCCCTAAGACCGTTGGAGGGCCGGACTATAGTTTTCAAAAAAAAAAAAAAACTATGAACAAATGCGGACACAGTACAGGAGATGACCAGAGACTGCGGACACAGTACAGGGGATGACCAGAGACTGCGGGCTAACTACAGGAAATGACCAGAGACTGTGGACAGTTCAGGAGATGACCAGAGACTGCGGACAGTACAGGAGATGACCAGAGACTGCGGGCATATTCAGGAGATGACCAAAGACTGCGGACAGTACAGGAGATGACCAGAGACTGCGGACAGTACAGGAGATGACCAGAGAATGCAGACATTACAGGAGATGACCAGAGACTGCGGACATAGTACAGGAGATGACCAGAGACTGTGGGCATACTTCAGGAGATGACCAGAGACTGCGGGCATACTTCAGGAGATGATCAGAGACTGCAGACGCAGCACAGGAGATGATCAGAGACTGTGGACGCAGCACAGGAGATGACCAGAGACTGCGGACGCAGCACAGGAGATGACCAGAGACTGCGGACGCAGCACAGGAGATGACCAGAGACTGCGGACGCAGCACAGGAGATGACCAGAGACTGCGGACGCAGCACAGGAGATGACCAGAGACTGCGGACATACAACGGCGGCGGGAATTCTGGGCCGGCCGCTCCATAAGACGCACAGACATTTCCCCCCAAGTGTGTCTTATGGAGCGAAATCATTGGTGTCAGTGGGAGGAATAGTGCCCCATCATTGGTGTCAGTGGGAAAAATCGTGCCCCATTATTAGTGTCAGTGGGAGGAATAGTGCCCCATCATTGGTGTCAGTGGGAAGAATCGTGCCCCAATCATTGGTGTCAGTGGGAGGAATAGTACCCCATCATTGGTGTCAGTTCGAGGAATAGGGCCCCATCATTAGTGTCAGTGGGGGGAGGAATAGTGCCCCATTATTGGTGTCAGTGGAGGGAGGAATAGTGCCCCATTGTTGGTGTCAGTGTGGGGGGGGGAAATAGTGCCCCGTCATTTGTGTCAGTGGGGGAAGAGGGAAGAGGATAGTGTCCCAACATTGGTGTCAGTGGGAGGAATAGTGTCCCATCATTGGTGTCAGTGGGAAGAATAGTGCCCCATCATTGCTGTCAGTGGGAAGAATAGTGCCCCATCTTTGGTGTCAGTGGGAGGAATAGTACGTCATTGGTGTCAGTGGGGTGGGGAATAGTGCTCCGTCACTGATGTCAGTAGAAGGAATAGTACGTCATTGGTGTCAGTGGGGGGGAATAGTGCCCCATCATTGGTGTCAGTGGAAGGAATAGTGCCCCATCTTTGGTGTCAGTGAGAGGAATAGTACGTCATTGTGTCAGTGGAGGGGAATAGTGCCCCGTTATTAGTGTCAGTGGGGGGGATAGTGTTCCATCGTTGGTGTCAGTGGGGGGGATAGTGTCCCATCATTGGTGTCAGTGGGGGAGGAATAGTGTCCCATCATTGTTGTCAGTGGAGGAATGGTGGTGTCAGTGGGAGGAATAATGCCCCATCATTAGTATCAGTGACACCAATGATGGGGCACTATTCCTCCCACTGACACCAATGACACGTAATTTGCTGACCCCCACTCCAGCCTAGGTGCTACTGCAGCCAGCATACCTTGTTGCAGCAGCACCATCAGCACGGCACATTTACCTGTCAGCTGTCCTTCTTCACTCAGGCCTCTCTCTCGCTTGATGTTCGCGGGGCCGCTCGGCTCCGCCTCCTCACAGGTGATTGGCCGCCTGTGTGCCTTTCCTGAGCTACAGTTCTGGCGCCCAATCACCGGTGAGGAGGTGGAACCGAGCGGCAGGAGTGAGGGAGTGGCTGGAGTGAATTGAATGAAGGAGCAGCGCTTCCTGGACTGGATCGTTGTGGGATTGGGACCGGATCCAGGTAAGGTACAGCAGCCCTCTGCCTGACCCTGTACTTAGTGTCCCTTCCTGTCCCGCCCCTGCCGGCAGGCCGGATAAATGGCCTCGGCGGGCCGCAGTTTGAGGACCCCTGGTATAGATAATGGAATTTTTACACAGTTTTTACTTTCTGACTGCCCATCACATTTCTTGAGGTGCTAAAATACCAGGATAGTACAAACACCCTCAAATGACCACTTTTCGGAAAGTAGACACCCTAAGCTATCTTCTGAGAGGCATATTGAGTCCATGGAAGATTTATTTTTTTTTCCACAAGTTTCTGGAAAATGACAAAAACATTTTTTTTTTTTTTTTTACCCAAAGTTGTCATTTAAATGATTAATTTTCGCACAAGCCATAGGTATATGTGGAATTACACCCCAAAATACATTCTGCTACTTCTATCAAGTATGGGGATACCACGTGTGTGAGACTTATTGAGAGCCTAGCCACATACAGGAGCCTGAAATCCAGTGACCACTTTGAAAGCCTGAAGGTGCGTAACTTCCTCATTACACTTCCTCATTACCTATCACAGTTTGGAAGGCCCTGACATGCCAGGATAGCACCAAACCCCCCCAAATGACCCCTTTCTGGAAAGTAGACACCCCAAGGAATTTAAAGAGGCATGGTGAGTATTTTGCTGATCTCATTTTTTCTCACAAGGTTTTGAAATATAAAAAAAGAATAGAAAAAATATTTTTGTTTTTTTTCTTCATTTCAAAAACTTGTGGCAACAAATGAGATCTGCAAAATACTTACTGTGCTTCTTATCAAATTCCTTGGGGTGTCTACATTCCAAAAAAGGGTCATTTGTGGGGGTTAGTGCTATCCTGGCATTTCAGGGCCTCCGAAACTGATAGGTAGTCCGGAAGTGTAATGAGGAAATAAAGCCCTTTAAAAGCATCAAGGTGCTTATTGGATTTTGGGGTCCTGTACTTGGCTAGACTGCCAAAACGTCTCTCACATGTGGTACCCCCATACTCGGGAGAAGTAGCAGAATGTATTTTGGGGAGTAATTCCACATATACCCATGGCATGTGTGAGCAGTAAATCATTTAAGTGACAATTTTGTGTAAAAAAAAATTTTATTTTTTTTTTATTGTCATTTTCCAAAAACTTGTGGTAAAAAATAAATTCTTCTATTGATTCAACATGCCTTACAGCAAATAGTTTGGGGTGTCTACTTTCCAAAAAGGGGTCGTTTTGGGGGGTGGAGGCATTCTATGCCCAGCATTAGAAGTTTATGCCACAAATCATTCACTCCTCTAACCACCTGAAGATCAAGGCTTTTTTGACACTTTTTGTTCACAAGAAAAAAATCAGTATTTAATCAAATATATAATTTTTTAAAGCAGACACCCTAGTGAATAAAATGGAGGGTACTACAATTTTTTATGGCACATAGTACTCGTGCAGCTATTTTTCAAACGCAAATTTTCAAAAAATTACACAAATTTTTACTTTTAATGCACAAAAACAAAATATATTTAATATTTTGGTAAAATAAAAAGATAATTTTAGATTTACATAAATAGTTACCAAACATGACATGTTGCGCATGCCCCGTGCAATGGTGACAAACTGCAAACATTTTTAATATCTATAGGCAACACTTTAAAAGCTACCATTTTTTGATTTACAGAGGAGGTCTAGTGTTCGAATTACTGCCCTTGATCTGACGTTCACGGCAATACCTCACATGTTCATGGTGCAACTGCTGTTTACATACCGGCACAGAGTCAAGGTTTGTGCACACAGGTGTGCACGCATGGGAGGGGCAATTTTTTTGTTTTTTGTTTTTCTTAGTTATTTTGATTTTTTTTTTTTATTATTTTTACATTGTACCTTTTATTTTTTTTTTTTTTGGTCCCTTTTAATGCTATCACAGGGAATGCACATATCCACTATAACTTCAATGGGCATTGTCATATATTCTTTTTTGAGAAATATGGGGTCTTTCAGACTCTGGATATCTCCTCTGCCCTTACATTATCTAATCAAACCAAAATCGGTGTGATCAAATGCTTTCCCAATTTACAAATGGCGCTGTTTATATCCTGCGAAACTGAAGTGATGAAATCCTTGTAGCTTACGAATTCTTAGACTATAGAGATGATTGGCACCACTCTGGTCTCCAATCAGCTCTATGGTCAGCTGGCAGAAACATTTTCAGGTTTCCCCGATGGAACGGGACTGCCTGAGAAGACCGTGGAAGGCAATGGGGGCATCATCTCCCACTGCTTGTAAAAGCAATCCTGCAGCTAATTAGCCATTAGCCACTTTTACATGAAACTGATCGCAGGCTGAAAAAAATCATACAGGATGATGCCTGCCTGCAGCTGTAGGCATTATCCTGGTATAACCACTCAAAGTCCAGTGATGTACCAGTACATCGCTGGTCCTTGTTGGGTGTATCACCCTGTTCCAAATTATTATGCAAATGATATTTTTCTCATTTACCTAAATAATTTATGTAAATAACAGTCAGCATAATTCTCATGTTATCAACTATTAAGAGTACAATTCAAATTTTATTGAACAAACCTTCGTGTGCTCCGGCATGTGTTCTTCACTTACCTTACCCTGGGGCCATCTCCTCCGGCCGATGCCGGCATCCGGCTTCTGTGTCCTGTCCCTGTGATTTTAAAAAAAGTCATACCTGTCTCAACCAATTTCACATACATCTTGTCCCTAGTACATCTGTTCTTTCTGCGGAAACTGGTCCCAAAAAGTTGTTTTTAGAGGGTTTCAAAACCACTTTACACCCTGTTCCAAATTATTATGCAAATTTCATATTTTTTATCATTAAATTACCTAAATTAATTTATTTAATTTATGTGTTTCAAATTTTATCATACCCGGATGTTTACTAGACTCTTGTTCGGATAATTCAGTGAGTTTTTCCTAAAATTACAGGCCTAGTACAATTCAAATTTTATTGAACAAAAAAAATAATGCTTTCAGCACCAAAAATCTGAAATAATCATACCGCCAGGGAGGTTAAACATAAAAAACTTACAATGCACTGTTCCAAATTATTACGCACAGTAGGTTTCAAAACACTTTATAGGTTGTAAAGAACTGAAAATTGTCATTTGTTGTGTTTGCAGCATATTTACTGAAATCAAAAGCTATTTCAATCAAACTGTTAACAACATTTTAACTTTTTAAACATTTTAACAGGTCACGTTACATTTTGACATAGGACCCCTTATTTGATAGCAGCTTCACAAGTCTTGCATCCATTGAATTTGTGAGTTTTTGGACAGTTTCTGCTTGAATTTGTTTGCAAGATGTCAGAATAGCCTCCCAGAGCTGCTGTTTGGATGTAAACTGCCTCCCACCCTCATAGATCTTTTGCTTGAGGATGCTCCAAAGGTTCTCAATAGGATTGAGGTCAGGGGAGGATGGAGGCCACACCATGACTTTCTCTTCTTTTATCCCCATAGCAGCCATTGATGCAGAGGTATTCTTTGCAGCATGAGATGGTGCATTGTCATGCATGAAGATGATTTTATTACGAAAAGCATAGTTTTTCCTTCTGTACCAGGGAAGAAAGTGGTCAGTCATAAACTCCACATACTTTGCAGAGGTCATCTTTACACCTTCGGGGACCCTAAAGGGGCCGGCCAGCTCTGTTCCCACAATTC